GAAGGGAAAAAAATCAAGGGGAGCAATTACCTCAACCTACACCCCCCAAGGACTGCTTTTTGTTGATGAAGTCCTAATTAACTGGGTTCACAAAGATGCTGAGCTGTGGATTACAATCCAGTGACTTAATTGCCAGAGTCTGCCAAGCTGAAAGAGCCAGAGTATCATTTTTCTGTGGGCATTCAAACGTCTATTGCTTGCTATGATTAAGGGGCAGCAAACTGGAGAGTGTATTTCGATGCAGGCTACCAAATGCAAATAAGCATTTTAAACAGGACCTGACAGTTGCAGGAACCAGGGGAGGAATACAAGAAACGGTCCTGGAACAAGGAAAAAAAAAACCTCTTTCCTGAACAGGCACACACAAAATGTTAATTTCCCACACCCACAGAAATCAGATCAATCGGTGGGAGTGCCCGCGAGCTTGTGATTTTTGGACTAAGGTTAAAGAATGGTTGGAAGAAATACTAGAGCGAGTGGTAGAGTTAAAACCAGAATTTTTCCTATTAGGTATAACAACGCAGAAGTATGACAAAGGCATACTCTATTTGATGCTACACATTCTAACGGCTTCCAGATTGGTTTATGCTCAAAATTGGAGGAATAAGGGAATTCCAACGGAAGAAGAAATCCTGTATAAAATTTTATCATGTGCAGAGATGGACAGGCTTACAATGGCTATGAAAGATAAGACAGAACTGGAATATTTCGAAATCTGGGACAAATTTTATCGCTGGCATGAATCAAGGAGAACCGCTCGGATCTTAAGCTAACGATAGGATTGAAACATACATACAATTGTACATATAATTGTATATATAATTGTATTGTGTAGAAGAATGAGGTTTATATAGAGGTTGAGGATGATGTATTAAGTTTTTGTACCACGAGAAACAAATTGTTAGGAATATTTACTCTGGAATGCCACGTATGTCCATTTTTGTTTTAATTGTATTATAAATAAAAAACTTAAAAAAAAAAAAGAAATCAGATCAATCCTGGCTTGGTTTTAAAGTGAAATCCACGGGGGTGCTGGGCAAAAAAAGAAATAATAGTGAGCAGCCACTGCTCCTACATTACCTTTTCTCCTTTGTGCATAGAGTGCTAGTTGCTAAAATTTCTTACCACTGGGCGGGGGGGGGGGGGGCGGACAGGATGCCCCAAAGTTCTGTAGTTTTAGCCTTAGAAAGTTTCTCCTTTTGCAATTTTGGATCTACTGCAGTTGAGCTAGAAGTGAGCAACAGATTCGAGAGTTCAAAGTCCTGTATAGAACAGGAGTTCCCCATAACATGTAATATATATGAGAACCAGTCTAATATTAAGATGCTGGCCTAAATATAGATGGCATTTAGATCCCCAAAAATTGTCTTGCATGTATCCAAATTTGCAGCCAAAATGTTGGAGATGTGGTAATCTAGACGCAACTTATTATCATATTTGGTGGACATGTAGGGATGTAAAGGCTTTTTGGATTAAGATTTGGTGGAATATTCAACACATCTTTAAGAAAAAGATAAAATCTACACCGCAATTATTTTTATTGGGTATTATGGAAAATTTGGATCCTAAAGAAATGAATCTGATGTTGTATTGTATAACAGCAGCAAGATTACTGATTGCTCAAAACTGGAAGAAAGAGGTATTACCGACTATGGATGATTGGAGATTGAAGGTGTCATATTTTGCAGAAATGGCAAAAATTTCCGCATACTTGAAGGATCAATCTCAAGAAACATTTATCTTGGTATGGAGAAGATGGATAGATTATATTAAGAGAAAGTATGAAGTGATTAATTATCATATAGCTTTTGAATAAATATTTTTCTTTTCTAATATTTTTTATATATTTAATATAATTTATATATATATATTATATTCAAGTTTATTATTGTATGTTAAAGTATGTTAATTTTGTTTGTATTATGAATGGATAGCTTAATTTAGACTTGGGATGTTATGTATTTATCCCTGTACTCAGTTCTGGGAAGTCCCCCCCGGGGGGGGGGAAGGGGATGAAGGGGTTGAATTATATAAAATTTGGTGTAATTATAAATATAATGTTAAATGTTTGTCCTTAAGAAGAGGAGATGATCGGCTAGTACCCCTAAACAGCATCCGAGGTGGTGGAAAAGGTGATGGGATGTGTAGGATAGTTGGAAAGGAGGAAAGAGGAGAGGTCGTGGTTAAGAGGGGGAGGAAGGAAGAGGGAAGTAGGTAGGAAGGTTGAGGGAGTGTGGATGCAGGGGGGGGACCGCCGATTATTTCTGAATACCTACTGAGTAGGCTTTTCATGTGTTTGTTTTTCTAATGAAATGCACCATATTTGTATTATTTGTTTATATGTTTATTTGAAAAAATTAATAAAAAATTTGTTTAAAAAAAAAAAAAAAGATGCTGGCCTAAAAAACCAGGAGACAGTGAGTTCTAGTCCCACCTCCAGCTGGAGGCCACCTCTCTCTCAGCCCAACCCACCTCACAAAGTGGAGGAGAAAAGATGTGTTGAGTATGTTCGCCACCTTGAGTTACCCCTCCCCCAATAAAACCTAATAATATAATAATCGGAAAATACACTGGCACTCTGAGGCTGATGCAGAATATTAATATACAGTTAAACGGCTGGATATAAATATCACGGCACTCCTTCTTATAATCATCTTTATTTCATTGTGGAAGATCCCCCACTAGTATTTACATAGTGCAAAAGCTGTTATTATTCCAAAAAAGTATGGTAGACAGAACAATCCTTCATAAAAAGGAGAACAGAGACAGAACATGTTCATGAAGTAATTTCATTCTGATTTTTCCTTCCAATTTAAACTTTTAGATGTTACTGATATTTAGTGTACAGGTATCAAAGATTAAGAGGCGTTACCTAAGTACAGTCTTTAAAAGTACATTAATCACATATGAACATTAATTAGGCTGTGCCCCTTATACTAATTTTTTTTCCTTCAAATTATTGTTTTAAGGTTTATTCTTTGTGTAGGACTGAACTGGGCACCAAGCTGTACAGTTTCCATTTATGGCTTTTTAAAAAAGTGTTCCGTTAGTGATTAAAATCTGGTAAATTGACTGAGCATCTTGATTAATTGGCACAATTTCTCACACATACACGCACACAAACACACACACACACACACACACACATTACGACAATTTCAATAGACAGCAGCTTTTCAAACGAGACTTCTTTTTTGTCACCCTCCCCCTCACCCTCCCCGGTGCCATTAAAATTTAAGAGCTTCCAGTTGACAATTGGATTTAGCTACACCGCATAGGTCCACCCAAGAAGAATCTAAGGTATCTCCTAGTGATGTGTTCAGAATACATATGAGTGCATCATTCAAAAGGATTCCTTTCTTTTTTTTTAAAAAAAGGAAATAAATAAACCCAAACAGCCAATCAAACACTACACCAATCACTGATCAAATCTCAAAAGGTTTGTAAAAACATGCCATTTAAAACGTAAGCTGGGGAAGAGGGCGTAACAGGGGAGGGATACAAGTACTTTGTTAGGATAAACACATACATCTTACAATTAACCTACAGACCCCACTTTCTTATTATTTGGCCCACCATAGATTTCGGTGCATCAGCCCACCTTGTGTTCCCTCACTACTTTGTGGCGTCTCTTTTTATGCAAATACTGGAAGTGCTTAGGACTATTTCCTCTAACCCATCAGACGTGTCACCCGCATCCCACCCCACCCCAGAAATCCTTCTCTTTTGCCATTAACTCTAGTGAAATTAATTAAACTGATTTTAAGGAAGAGGAAACATTGCTGAGCTGGGCCCAATAAAACTGCAGAAACGGGCCGCCCCCCCTGTTTATAACAAGGATCCATTTCTGCCCGGTATGGAAGTTAAGCTACGGAGAAGAAACATCAAGGACTATGGACAAAAGGACGAACAGAAATGTTAATACCGCACTGCATCGCCAAAAAGCACGTTGAACACGGAGTACAATCTAATACAATTCATAGACACATTCTATTCTCAACTTGGCTCTTAGGGCCCCCCAAAACGAACACTTTGTAAAGTATGGCTTCAGCCAATGATCCGCTATTTTGTCTTAAAAGAGACCTGCTGCAGTTTGAAGACTTAGCACAATCACACGCGACGTTCCAACCGAGATACACCGGAATGCCTGGCCTGAATTGGAAAGAGATAACAATGGAAAAAGGTCTTGTGTGTGTGTGCTTATCTACTGGGTTTTATGCATACTGGCAAGGGACAAACCAGGTCCTTGAAAAAGGAGACGAGACGTTTAAGACAATATCTACTGAACGAGTCATTTTGGTTGATCAGCACTTTGAAAGGAAGAGGTTTCCACCTGTGGACAATCGGCAAGGTTACTAGTAGCCACCAGTCCTTTTCCTATTCATCATCTCCTAATTCCATGTATAAGAGCTATTTATTCAAACTGTTCTGCTACGCTCCTCACACTAGGCGACCACACACACAATTGTGAAACATTTCATCTGGTTTTTCTTATTAGAAATAAAAGTTACTAGCTTCAAATGTGATCGTTATTGGTCCCAAACTAAAGAGAGCTACTGACCTATGCAATATTTTTACAATGCTGGGGATGTCCCTATTTTCATAAAGCTTGTCTTCTTGCACCACCTCAAACCGCCACTGTCCCACCCTGCCTCCCTCCCTTCCCCACCTTATGCAGCTTGGTTTGGTGAAATGAGTGCTAGAAAACTCAGAACAGGCATGCAAAACTTAAGCAAGTCACTAAAAACAATTTCTCTCTCACCCGCTCTGACATTCCACAGGACGAAGGATATTTGCCTGCCACAAAGCCACTTCTACCTCTCACATTTATGAAAATTTGCTTCCAAAGGGGTAAGCTGTTAGAAGACCACCTTCTCATCGAGGTCAACCCCAAGGAAAAAGTAAGCGGATCCAAACGCCAACTTTCCTTCCCCTTCCTCTCACGCTTCATATTTCGTTTTATGCTAAATGGTCGATAACCGATTCTCTCTTTTTTTTTCTATTTACACGGCATGTATGAACTCGTCGTAACATTCCTGAGTATCAGCGAAAGCAGTAAGAAGCAGAACATGGCGTGCTGAATCAGAGTGGAAATTAAGAAAATCAAGCAAGGAAAGCTTGTGGTGATTAATGAGTCCCTTTTGGCAGTCGGCTTGCGGGCAAAGTGACAAATGTGGACAATGTCAGTTGGAAAGTAAACAGATACGTCATTACCAAAGTACCCGGCCAAAATGGTTCTAGCCAACTGCAAACCAGTCCTTCAGGAGTGTTATTACTTAAATATCCTAAAATACTAATGAGGAGGTGCACTGATTCAGTGACTGGTTAGTATGCATCTTTCTAGCCCTTTTTCCCAGAAGACGTTTTCATTCTGTCACTTTTAACAGTCTGAGTAAAAACAAAAAACAAGACATCGTTCTGGCTTAATGTTAGGTACTCAGTAGCCAGATACCTCCCCAAGAAGTTCATGGCAAAGCCGACATTGGTCAATACTGTCAACGCTTTAAAAATATGTAAGATTTTTTTTTCCCTCCCTTTTTTCAGTCTGAGAAGAGTTTTGCCTTAAAAATGGTCGGGTGCAAAGAGTTTCCTCATCCGAAAAAAGGTGACAGTTTTAACGCACATTTCAGCCTGTTCTAAGAAAAGATATAAATATTAATCACACATGCACACGTCTAGGTCTCGGTGGAGAAGTAATGAAGACCGCTACCCAAAAAAAAAAAAAGTGAATTAAATACGGGTATTAAATGTTACACAGTGCAAAAATGCCGAGATGAAGCACACAAAGCAATGGCTGCAATCCTTACAACAATTAGTTTCTTTTTTTCTTTTTTCGTTTTTTTAAATAGTAAGAAGTTTCCTGAGTCTGGGCTTAAAGTTCACGGTATATAATTCGAGTCTGTGTGTTTTGTATCGGTGGGGGTGCAGGTATTCGGTTTCGGTTGGCCTTTACTCGTAGCCTTGTCTAATGTCCATTCCTCGTTGTCAAGAGCCAATTCCGCTTGCTCGGGCGCTTGCGCTTCCGCTGCTTCCTCCTCCTCCTCCTCCTCACTCTGCTCCGCGTTCTCCTCTTCTGCCCCGCTGAGGGTCTTGCCGAGTTGAAGGGTTTCCATAGTCCGTTGAGTCTCCGAGACCCACGATTCAATTCTGCTGTTGAGCTGAACTTCCTCCGAGATGGGTTCAGGGGCGTAGTCCTCCTCCTCCTCCTCTTCCTCTTCCTCCTCTTCGTCTTCTTCAAGCATCCCTGGCACGAGAGTACTGGTTGTACTGGTCATGGAAGAATTCAAAATGTCCCGGCAGCTGCCATCTAAAGATCCGGTGTCTGTGCTTTGCTGGGAGGCCCACTCCAGGTTGTCATCTGGCTTCACTTCCTCCTTCCCACTTAGTGGTTTACCGGGGGACGCCACCGGGATGAGGCCAACGGCGGCTAGGGACAAGGGCTTACCAGCAGCGGCATTAGGCTTGCCAGGTTTCTCGGAAGCTGCCACCACCTTGCACGCCGCTTCTCTTTCGTTTTCAGAGGCTTCCAAACCATCTGAGTTTTCCACCATGTTCCTCCAATTTGTTTCTGGGGGAAAGAAATGCAGAATGTTTGGCGAAAGGCTATAAAACAACAGGAGAAGCACGCTTCCCTTTTAAACAAGCCGCTGAGCACATCTAGGTAGCATCATCCCCGTTCGAGGCAAAGCTTTGAACAATAATACAGTTACCGAAGTGCCGTTATAGGTCACAAAAGCAAAGAACTGTTTCCAGTGTGCTGTGGTTGACAGTACTGAACACAAATTCTGTGCATTGTGAGCCAAGTGCTTAACGCTGCAAAATAATATAACTGAGGCTATTGTCCGGTTAAGCATTTTAAATGCTAATAATTAAAATGTTCAAAGAAAAAGGCTTCTGTCTGTAGAAACCTAAGAATGAAAGGGGATGGGAAGATGCAATTCTAAGAATGCAAACTATTCTTTCCATGAAGAAAACTGTATGTGAAAACAGACAAATTTTAGCCTAGGAGCACGTAACTATTTGTTTCCAGATCAGCAACCACATACTGAAGACTATTTGAAAGAAAGCTATGGTATAATACCCCACTGCTCCTTAATTATTTTAATCGTTCTGATCTTAATGTTCTTAGCCTCCTATTTTATTGCTTTAATTTTTTTTGTTTTTTTGTTTTTATTCTCAGACTACAAATTGCTCTGGAAGCTTGTTGAGAGATAGCCTGGTTTATGAGACTGCAATACCCTATGGGCCTTGCATTCCAAAGATTAAAAAAAAAACTTACTAAATAACATTTTCAGATTTATGCAGCTGATTGAACACAGAGCCAATTTAATCCGCCTAAAACAAAAGCTTACATTTCAATATTCCAAGCAAGGATGTCGGCAAGGGAGAGGGTTCGAAAGTTAAAGGGGTGGCCCCACCTGTGTGATCAAGCTCCACCCTCTTTATTACAAGTGCCGTAAGAGACAAATGTAAAAATGGGATAAGGCTCAGTCACGCAACTGTGGCCACCATGCGGACTTTTTAAATGGCTTCTCTTCCCCCTCTCCTTTCTTTTACACACTCCCGATTCCAAAGACCAGAAATTCAGGCCATGGTGGTCCTATCTCAAAGGGGCCTCAACTAGGGCCCCTTTACGACCTGTGGACTTCAACTCTCAGAATGCTGGCTCAGGAATTCTGGGAGTTGAAGTCCACAGGTTTTAAAGGGGCCACCGTTGCCCACCCCTGGCGGACTCTATGACATCTAGTATCAGACACATGACTAGAATAGAATAGAATAGAATAGAATAGAATAGAATAGAATAGAATAGAATAGAATAGAATAGAATAGAATAGAATAGAATAGAATAGAATAGAATAGAATATGGAAGGGAAGGGAAGGGAAGGGAAGGGAATGGAGAATAGAATAGAATAGAATAGAATAGAATAGAATAGAATAGAATAGAATAGAATAGAATAGAATAGAATAGAATCTGGAAGGGACTTTGGAGGTCTTCTAGTCCAGCCCCCTGCTCAAGCAGGAGAATCTATACTGTCTCAGACAGGTGAATGTCTAGTCTCTTCTTAAAAATCTCCAGTGATGGAGCGCCCACGATTTCTGGGGGCAAGCTGTTGCACTGCTTGATTGTCCTCACTGTCTAAACAGACTATCCAGAATGCCAGACTGTAGGAGATGGTTAACATTCCGAGAAGGTTATAAAGTAAATTTGGTCAAGAGATAAAACCCACGGTTACCATTATAAAAGACAGTCCAACTACGAACTAAGGGAAGACTAGATAAAAGTCATGTTTGAAAGCGCAAGAAAGATTAAACATGATTCTGAAATATATGCTTACCATACTCCTTCTCGTTCACCTCTGAAATTGGCTCTGAAATCACGCTGCAGAACGAAATGGCGCTGGCTGCCGAAGGGTTTCGGGAATGCCCCATGTGGTGGGGCACCTTCTTGATGTTCTTCAAGGCCTCCTCCTGCTCTTGCTCCATGGCTGAAACCATATCTCGGTAGGCTTTCCTGGCCTCTTCCGTCAGAGAGACCAGTTTGTTAAAGAGGTTCTAGAAGACAAAGAGCCCACTGAGAGAAGGAAAACTGCCACCAGATACTCCCAGTTTGTTTTCATTGCTTTCTTGGAAGCTTTCCTGTTTGTTTTCCCCTTAAGTGTTATTCATACAATGCACAAAATTACCCAAGGCAGCAAACACACACAATACTCCCTCCTACTTCTATGTTCCCCACAACAACAACCCTGTGGGCTGGGAGGGATTGGCCCAACACCATCCAGCTGGCTTTCATGGCTAGGCGGGACTAGAACTCAAGGTGTCCTGGTGAATGGTCCAAAGTCACCCAGCCGGCTTTCATGCCTAAGGCCGGACTCGAACTCACAGTCTCCTGGTCTCAAGCCTGGTGCCTTAACCACTAGACCAAACTGGCTCTATATAAATATTTTTAAAAAATGCATAGACGTGCCCCTCTGATTACATCAGGGTTGGAAAAGTCAGCTTTTATTTTATTTTTTTCTTTTTAAAAAAATAGATCATAGTTGTGTGTATGGAAACGAGTATGAGCGCCAAACCCACTTGAAAGATTTGGGAAGAAACACAACCCACCCAAATGGCAGATACAGATCAGGTAACTTGGGTTATTTTAAAAGATAGGAAAAGAATGAATTTATTTCTCAGGCATCATTGGATGTGTTAGGAGTGCCGTGGGCAATGAACTCCGTCCTTCCGGAGTTGACTGAGAAGCTCTTACCTCAGCGCCTGAAAAATTGAAGATGCCCACCACGCTGACAGGAACTAACTTGTTCACGCAGCGGCCAAGCGCTTTGCGTCCGAGGGCAAAGACAAAAGGGATTTCTTGTTCCCGAGCCATGGCGATCACGTTATACAAAGCTTCGTCTAGTCCACCTTGAGGGACGTCAAGGGAAAAAAAAAAGTTGAAGAACTCCCTCACAATGAGTTAGATGTAAATGCACTAATTTTATTTATCTATTAAACAGTCTAAACCAGGGGTCTTCAAACTTGGCCCTTTTATGACCTGTGGACTTCAACTCCCAGAATTCCTCAGCCAGCCTCCATTTTGCTTGTTAGATTTAAGACAGGGGTCTTCAAACTTGGCCCTTTTATGACTTGTGGACTTCAACTCCCAGAATTCCTCAGCCAGTGTGCCTGCCTGAGGAGTTCTGGGAGTTGAAGTTCACAAGTTATAAAAGGGCCACGTTTGAAGACCTCTGGGCTAAATCACCCAAAAGCTGAAGTTCTTTGGGCAGTTTCCAGTAAAATTTGACTGTGTTAGTCAAACAAAAATCACACAGAAATTGTATGCATGCAAAACATGCAAACCAGATGAATTTGAAGCTGCCTAAAAAACAAAGTAGCAACAGCAATAGCACTTAGACTTATATACCACTTCGCAGTGCTTTGTAGCCCTCTCTAAGCGGTTTACAGAGTCAGCCTATTGCCCCCAACAATCTGGGTCCTCATTTTACCAACCTCAAGGATGGAAGGCTGAGTCAACCTTGAGCCAGTGAGACTCGAACTGCTGAACTGGTGAAAGTCAGCGGAATTAGTCTGCAATACTGAATTCTAACCACTGGGCCACCACCGTATCAACAAACACTTCACTAACGTGAAGGTACCTCAAACATATCAAATATTGATCTCTGGAATTGAATTTGATTCCTTAAGACAGTGTTTCTCAACCTTGGCAACTTTAAGATGTGTGGACTTCAACATTGTTGGTGGGGAATTCTGTGAAATTCTTAGAAGATGTATGAACTTTGGGGGGGGGGGGTGTCAGTAGTATGAAATTTGTTGCCACGGTCTTCTTCCAGAGTTTTTTTTAAAAATTCCCAATATAGGCTACAGTCCTGACAATGTTGATGATTTCTCCATTCAAGCAATAAGCAGTTCTGACTCCATTTAGTCTTGGGGATCCATCATGATCATAGTCAGGTGCTGCCATCTGCTGTAGCCCATGAACATCTACCCTGCTGCAAATAATATTTGCTGATGCATGATATGTGGAAGAGCCTAAATGTCATCTCCAGGAAATGAAAATCACCATTTGTAACTCAAGGGCACCATCTACAGCCAGGCAGAAAAGGGAAATGCTGTTTCCCTGTTTCAAAATGCTGCTTGTTCAATGGTGAGATAATCAATTGTTCTTACTAGAGAACTTATCGGCAAGAAGGGTGCTTGAAAAGAACAGTAGTCTTCATAGTTCAAAAGCCTGAGGTAGACAGTTACTTAAAAGAGAGCAGTCTCAAATAGAATTGTCTTCCCCTGCCCCCATCCCACCCCTCAGAAATGCATGAATGTTTTAATATCTGCCCATTTGCTTCTCTGCAACTGCAGAAACTGTGTCACACAAAAACCCATCCCTCATAGTCTTCTTAATCTCTTAGGGGAACCCCTTGAGAAGGTGAAAGCTGCAACAGGAAAAAGCCTAAGGCAGTGATGGTGAACCTTTTAGAGACCGAGTGCCCAAACTGCAACCCAAAACCCACTTATGTATCGTCGGGTGCCGGGTGGGCGTGGCCAACTGGGTGGGCATGGCCCGATGGGTGGGCGTGGCTGCGGTGATAACGGTAGACTGGGTGGGACTAAAAAGTTCAATCAATCAATTCCAACTTTGCAAGATCTTTTTTTTTCCCCGTGAGAAGTTGAAATTGATTGATTGAACCTTTTTTTTTTTGCACACGGCGGCAGAGGCCTAAAGCGAAAAGGTTTTATAAAACCCAGCTGAAGGCCTAGGACTGGGGCGACGGCGCGAGTGCCCACAGAGAGGGCTCTACGTGCCACCTGTGGCATGCGTGCCATAGATTTGCCACCACGGGGCCTAAGGCCTGCTCAGTGATCTAGGGACATGCCACCTTCTGTAATATACAGAAGACAGCAATCGGGAAAGAAACACCCAAATAATCCTATGTTAAAAAGGAAAGTGGCTCAGAGAAGATACCCCGTAAGAGCCATGTGTACCTTTGGATTGAATCTTCTCACAGTTGGGAGAAATAATTACACACTTGATCTTGCTTAACTTCATGTGTTTGGTCACCTCCCGTAGCCCCATCACAAGTCTCCTCTTCGCTTTGGCTTTTATAGGATCCTTCTGATAAATTCGCTCTTGGAAGCTGACCAGCTCTTGTAACAGGAGAGTCACACATTCATCAATTTCTTTACTCAGAACTTGATTGCAGTACCTGCACGTTCAGGACGGGAGCAAAAAGACACATTTCAGCAAGGCTGATTGGCAACTATTATGTTGGGGGGGGAAAGCGTGCATCCTTTTTCAAGTTCTCTTTCTGAAACTATTTTAATTCCATCGGCCATAAATTGAGAGCCGTGACTAAAAAAGGACAGGTATGAGTATGTTTAAGAGCTCTGCGTTGTTAGCTGTGTTTCTGACAGACTAAGCACTGCCTATGTATTCCTCCTTTGTTAAACTCTTTCTTAGCCTCCCTATGCTCCGTACTATTTGAAACTTATTTTATTCTCAGTGTTTTCCAAAACCAGGGCAATTGTCTTATTTGCAGACCGACTGCATGGATGCTGCACGAAGCAGTTCCAGCTACAAAAGCATCAGAAATAATCCCAAGGGTGCTTTTTCAAAATGTGACTGGACTTTGTTTTTCTTCAACTTTCAAGGAAAAACAAAGTCCAGTTGCCTTTTGAAAAAGCACCTTTGGGACAACCATGGCCTGGATGACTGAGGAGCTCCATAGATAATCAGAAATAATCCTCCACAGATAATTAGAAATAATATAATGCAGAAGGACAGGAGAATGGGTAGTAAGCTGTCCTGAAAGTAAGACGGGGAATAAGGGAAGCAATCCTGGTATCAGTACTTGTCATCACAATCGCCTTGTGACGAGATGAGCAGCAAACAAATTCAATAAATAAAAATATAAAACATCTCCCCTGAGCCTTGACCCCTACATTGTTTGTTGAATCCTATTGTCTTAAAAAAAACCCAACCTATAGATTTAGGAACATTTTTTTCTATACGTGTCTGGTATGTACTGTATATCTGATGCATGTTTTTCAGCTCTAAGGCAGTAAATAAAGATGAAGACATTGAGGAGCTTCGTGTCGCTTTCACTTACAAATACTTTTTAATCTGCTTCACTTGATGAATCAGTGCCAAACATGTTTATTTAATAATAATAATAATAATAATAATAATGATGATGATGATGATGATGATGATGATAATAATAATAATAATAATAATAATAATAATAATAATAATAATAATAATAATAATAATAATAATAATAATAATAATAATAAAAAAAAAGTTGGAAGGGACCTTGGAGGTCATCTAGTCCAGCTCCCTGCTCAGGCAGGAAACCCTATACCATTTTGGACAAATGGCTCTTCTTAAAAACCTTCAGTGTTGGAGCATTCACCGCTTCTGGAGGCAGGTTGTTCCACTGGTTAATTGTCCTAACTGTCAGGAAGTTTCTCCTTAGTTCTAGGTTGCTTCTCTCTTTGGTTAGTTTCCATCCGTTGCTTCTTGTCCTGCCTTCAGGTGCTTTGGAGAATAGCTTGACTCCCTCTTCTTTGGGGCAGCCCGAGATATTAGAAGGCTGCTATCGTGTCCCCCCCTCGTCCTTCTCTTCATTAAACTAGACATACCCAATTCCAGCAACCGTTCCTTATATGTTTTAGCCTCCAGTCCCCTAATCATCTTTGTTGCTCTTCTCTGCACTCTTTCTAGAGTCTCAACATCTTTTTTACATCGCGGTGACCAAAACTGGATGCAGTATTCCAAGTGTGGCCTTACCAAGGCATTGGTACAGTGGTATTAACACTTCACATGATCTTGATTCTATCCCTCTGTTAATGCAACCTAGCACTGTGTTGGCTTTTTTGGCAGCTGCAGCACACTGCTGGCTCATATTTAAATGATTTGTTGGACACCAGTCCCCTGCATTTGGATAACTTACTACAAAACATCACATATGCCTGGCTAAAGATATCCAAAGTTCTCTTCGAGAAGCAATTCTCTCTGAGCTTGAGTAGCTTATGCTCCAGAAAGCTAGAATCTATTTAGGTGGAACAGAAATGCCTCCCTGTAAGAACTTAAGTTCATTCCACTTAAGCCAATTTGTTTCCTTTGAAAAAAAAATCCCACGGAATGCAAAGGTTTTTGTTTTTGTTTTTTTTTTAAAAAAAGCTTACTCTCTGAATCGTTTGCTGTGAATTTTGGTGATCGTTGACGATGCCATGGGGCTTCCTATCCCTGAACTGGCAGGTGAGCCTTGGGAAACAGGAGTCATGCAGTAGGGAGAATTCTGGCTTGCGGGAGAGAGCGAGGTGTCACTTGGCACGCTCAGACCAGTTTCTGGAAGAGACAAGACAAAACAAACCAGTCGTACGCTGGTAAAGTTGCAGCATGGAAAATGTATTCAAATATATACACACACAAGAATCTTGTTAACTAATGGCCAGCGTTCAATTGGTACTAGATAAGAGTCACTGGAATTCAGGGGGAGGAGGCAGACTTGATTGGCAACGCAAGAACTCTGAACTGATGACGCATTTAACTCCGCCCTCCCAGCTCTGCCTGCTTTTCTCCCACAGGTGGCACTCAAAAGGATGGACTTTGTGTCAAACGTCCTCCGTTATTTCTACTTCCATCTCATCATAATCCTCAGAAATGCTGAGTTTACATGTCTTTCTTCATATAGACCAGTATCAGAAAATCCAAAGGTCTTTGTAAAACCCTCTCCCAGGAAATGAGTTAAGAAAGACGTGTAGCAGATACAGATGTAATGAGTAGAACAGTCACACTCCACCTCTTGTTCGCCAATTAAAAGTCTTGTGTAGCGGAATGTTAACCCAATAGATTGCAATAAACTATTTTAGACCATTGTTTCCATGAGCAACTGGATCCAGAAGGTTTCAGGGCGACAGTTACGGAATTAAAAGCCCACTAAACATGTGTTTGGTTATACAACGGCTATTACACATACTAATACAAAGACACGTATCAGGTTGATCTGACCTTCTTGAGATGTTAGTTCTTCCGCCTGGTTGGAAGTCAGAGTCACCTCTTCCTCCTCTTCACCTCCCAAAAGGCTGTGATCGGTTGATATACGTCCTTTCTTTTCTTCCCTCTCTTTCAAAATAATCTGAAACAAACCCAATTAGGGTATGGTGAATATTTTTTGTCGGCTCGGGAATTCTGGGAGTTGAAGTCCACAGGCCGTCCAGGATGCCACAGTTGCCCACCGCTGATATTGTTAAACTAGAAGCTCCACTTTAGGAAACCCGTTTACCTTTTTCAGTGCTGTAGGACGTTTCAACTTTGAGAGTTCTCTCTCTTTCCCTCGTTTTACTTTCGGGCTAGTGGGATCCAAAGGGTTAAGACAACCCACCAATGGCTGCCCTTTGGAGAAGGACTTTCGGCTGGCGGATTCTTTGGTGTGAAAGGGGACTGCACTGCCAACTGAAGATAAAAACAAAAGCGTGCAACGGCTGAATTGATGCTGCTGGAAAAAAAAATGGGTGTTTCCCTTGTGGTTGACTCTCCTCCCACATCCTCCATTCTCTTTAAAATGCCTTTTCCTTCACTGGAATTAAAAGCAGATTACAACAACAAGGACATTACGCAGTGAGATGCTGCTGTTTGGAGATTATCTGCTTATCTGAACACCAGATTTATAAGGATAGGTGATGTTATTCGTATTGGTCAGAAGAACCAAGCTACCAAACAATTCCTTTAGATAACTCCTAAAAAAAAAAAAAAACCTCACAAAATGTCCTACAACACCATTATTACAGGATTATGGTCTACAAATCACAATATCTGGAGTTGCACAATAAGCAGCATTCTGACTTAGCGCCAGGCATGAAACCTCAACCACAATTGCATTCCGAGGTTCAAAGAAACGTTTTGCATGGAGCGTAGCCAACATTTATCCATGGCAAAGGTATTTTGGGCTACCGAGTGGTGTCACATTGTACTTTTAAAGCAGAGGTCCCCAACCTTTTGGGCACCAGGGATCGGTTACGTGGAGAGAGGGTTTTCCGCGGACCGGAGGGTGCGTGGTTTTGTATGCCGCCTGCGTTTCGCGGATGGAGTTTTGCTGGTTTGTGCGGACCGGTTGCTGGCATGCCGTGGCCCAGTACTGGTCCACGGACCAGGGGTTGAGGACCTCTGTTCTAAAGGATTCCTGACCAAAAGAGGCAATGCAGTTATTACACCGGTTCTCTCTGATGGAGGAGATGCTGGAGAATTGCGCAGCTACCAAGAGCGGGGAAGCGAGACATACCCACCTGTGTACGAGAGGGGTCTGGTGTTTGTGATCTGCCGAGCCTTCATGGCCTGCTGCTGTTTCTCAAGCGCTGCCAGCATGTCCCCCAGGTCTAACTGCACAGGAGTTTTACTCTTCTTCCCAGCTGCTTTTGAAACGGCTTCCTAGACTCGGGATGACAAATGGGATCAGTTATTTCCAGTGGCCCAAGGGATCGTCTCAACCAGGTCGCCTGGCTTTTATAGCAGTGGTGGCGAACCTATGGCACGGGTACCAGAGGCGGCACTCAGAGCCTTCTCTGTGGCATGCACGCCAGGCCCTGGAGATGCCAACCATCCCTCTTCAACAGCCGTCCGCTAACTCGCTGAGGTCCCATGTGGCTGGATGCATCCCAGCACCCATGCGCTCGCTGGCCTGTGTGCGGGGGCCGATGGTGTCAGGCAGCCGCCGCCCCGGCCCCTGCCTCACCTTGCCCTGCGACAATGGCACCACCGCTCTGCCTCACCTCACTCAGCAAGACGAGCCTCCTGCCCCGCCTGCCAGAGACCCCCTGGATCTCCCTCAACCCTGCCTGGCCCCCACAGGCGTCCCTCCCCATGAGCAACATCAAGGTGATCACGCCCACCTTGGCCACACCCACCTAGTCTGCCATCACAGCCACGCCCACCCAGTGGGCCACGCCCACCTGGCACCCGGCGATAAATAAGTGAGTTTTGGGTTGCAGTTTGGGCACTCGGTCTCTAAAAGGTTCGCCACCACTGTTCTATAGTGTCTGAGGCTGTTCTGTTCTTTTGACCGTTAAAAAAAAGGGGGGCGAGGGTGAGGCTAGCAGTGAATGTTACTATAGGAGCAGACTCATTAAGGAATCTGTACAGGTGGTCCTTGACTTGCAACCACAATTGAGAGCAAGGTTTATGTGGTTAAGCAAAAGCCCTTTGTTGAGTGAGTTTGCCCCATTTTACAACTTTCCTTGCCACGGTTGTTAAGTGAATGGCTTCAATTGTTAGGTTAGTACAGAGTGATGGGGTGAACCTGGCTCCCCCATTGACTTTGCTTGCCAGAAGGTCACAAGAGGGAATCACATGACCCCGGGACAGGCAACCGTCGCAAATATGAATCAGTTGCCAAGCGTCCAAATTTTGACCAAGGGGCTGCTGCAGCGATCATGTGACAAACGGTCATAAATCACTTTTCTTCAAGGCTTTGGTCACTAAATGAGGGCTATGATAAATAGAAAACAAAATACTACAAACTTTCAAAAGGAAGTGTAGCATTTCATTTACTGCAGGAAATCTCCCTGCAGGATTACTAGGCACAGGAGTAACATGGTTTAGGGACCTGCATCCAACCCTTTCCGGCCTCAAACACTGCAATCTGTCCACCTAGATCAGGGGTAGGCAACCTTGGCTCTTTTATGACTGGTGGACTTCAACTCCAGAATTCCTGAGCCAGCACGGCTCAGCTTGGAAACCTCTCCCTTTCCCCTCAGCATGGCTGGCTCAGGAATTCTGGGAGTTGAAGTCCACGAGTCATAAAAGAGCCAAGGTTGCCTACCCCTGACCTAGACTGACATCCAGAATGCATTTCAATTATACTATTAAAACAGACCTGAAGCTTTCTCTGCTCCATACTGATTTCGGAATACTCTTGGGCTGTAGCCAGCGCTGCTGCGAGAGCTTTCTTCTTTTGACTTTTGGCTCTTTTGGGAACAGAGGTGGTGATCGGAATCGGAGTCTGTACTATGTTGATGGGAGAATTTTCAGGAAGACCATCCAACTAGCGGAAGAGGATATGGTGAGAAGTATAAAGGGGATGCAGTGTTGAAAAGAGATACAGCATGAACAGCAGCTCTGTTTTTTTAGAGCTGATCTTGCTCCTTTATCTAGGTCACGGGTCGGCAACCCGCAGCTCCGGAGCTGCATGTGGCTCTTTGAGCCTTCTCCTGCGGCTCCCAGCCTCCTCCGCCATTTGCAGAGAGAGAGACAAAGACAGAGAGGCACTTGCGCTTCCCTTCTCTCCCTGTCTCTGTGCCTGTGTGTGTGTGTATAAAAGAGAGTGGCCTCATGCTGTCCTCTAACAAGCTTATTGGGCGGGGCTCCTCCCTTTGCTGCGTCTCAGCAGGAAGCAGCAGAAAGCAGGAAGCAGCAGCTCTCTCTGTTTCTGTCTCTGTCTCTCTCTCACATACACACACTGAGTGGGGGAAGAGGACTGGCAGACCAAGGGCAGGAGAGAGCCAGCCCAATAAGAATGTATATCAGCTTGTCGGAGGACAGCGTGAAGCCAGCTTGCCAGGTGAGCAGAAGATCGGAGAGAGGGAGAGGGGGGGAGAGAGGGGGAGGGAGACAAAGAGAGGGAGAGAGAGAGAGAACTCATGCATAGCAGCCTGTATTTCTTTTTAATTAAACTCTTCAATCAAGTTTTCCCCCTCCTGTGCGCCCGCGCAGGCAACTTTTGCGGCTCCCAGTGTTTTCTTTTCTCCGGGAAACGGGTCCAAGTGTTTAAGGTTGCCAACCCCTGATCTAGGTCAACATAGTGTTTTTCCTAACTGAATGGTCAGTTTTGTGTACACAACTCCACAAGATGCTGCAATAAAGCTAGAATTTGAATTGTAATATACAATTGTCCGCTAACAGTCTCTAATTATACTTAAAATCTTATTTAACCTAATAAAATACCATTCTTAATTTAGAGGCACTCCAAATTAGCAACCATGATTTGACTGAGAAAGACTGCAGGTCCTTGATTCTGGTTTGTGCTGCACGCAAATGTGTTTCTGAGCACTTCCCCAAATATGCACATAGTTAAGGTATGGTAAAGTCTCGCTGGCTAAACTCACTGCCTGGTTACTACATTCACATGTCTGTGGGATCTGGGGTTGCTACAAAATGTTCACTCCCGATATTGCTTGTGGTCTCCCAGCTAAATACGGTAGTAATCTGCTTTAAATTGAAAATCCGGATCTTAAGAAATCAATTATGTTCTTCACAATGCCAGTCTATGCTTTTTGCACTCCCAAGGAACAGTTCCACTCACTTTTATTGCTCATTAAAAATCAGCCACCATATATTGAAAAGAAAAATAACCTCATCAAGAGTTCAATCCCCCAAATATTATAGTGTCACTTACCATTTTGGGTGCATGCTTCAGCTGCATGTTATTCACTTTAGAATGTCCACTATCGCAATTTAGCTCTGGGAATTCTTCTTCATCCTGAACAAAAAATTTGGAAAATTCATTAACTGCAATTCACAGGACAAAATATCTGTATTTTTGCAGGAAAGCATTACTCAGCTAGCGATTGGTGGAAAGGGGCAAATGCATATGAATAGTACCAAGAGGGATAAACGTGAAACTATATTGGAATTTGCAGGAAATATATTGTTATCACATGCCAGGATATATTGAAAACAAATTGAAAAATGTTACTAGTAATTTGAAGAATAGTTTTTAATGTTTTAAAATCAGCAAGCGGGGCACAGCAAAATGTAGCAATCAAATCAATTCAAAATCTCCATTTGTCTTAGTGAATTAAAGCTGTCATAAACAAGATTAATGAAAGAGTTACCCCAAAATATAGCAGTTCAGGGCTCTGCTCTACTTTGTTTGACTGGCTTGTGATTACTGGTTTCTCAATTTTCTTCTGCAAACTCTGTTCCCTTTCGGAAGATGTGCTGTGACCTCTACATTTAAAACCAGGCTATACAAGCAAATAAAAACAAACATATTAGGACTGTCCTTTTAAATTGCAGCATGAAAGCGCCCATGTAAATCACAAAGTATGCGCTAGCTATCTTGTCTGCCAGGTGAAAATCTAACTATCTATGTCAAGGCTCCACAACCTTGGCAACTTTAAGACCTGTGGACGTCAACTCCCAGAATTCCCTAGCCAGCATGGCTGGCTGGGGAATTCTGGGAATTGACGTCCACGGGTCTTAAAGTTGCCAGGGTTGGGGACCCCTGATCTATGTGATTGTAGAAATGTAATAATGACAACAAAAAGTTGAACAATCTTTACAGAGCAAAGCAGAGTAAACGGAGTGGCATTACAAAAAGTTAAAATACTAATTCATGCAGTCAATATTTCATCAGCTTATTCGTATTCCATTTGCCTAAACCCAGTTTAATAGGAAACTAATTCAATAAAATTGACATGTTCAACAATGGATGCAGACTGCCAATGAATTCTACAATCATCTTTCAGCAGAGATGTACGAACGAAAGAATATACTAATAGCTGGAGAAGTTCATTTCTCTAGTAAAACTCTGCAAAGGAAAAGCAAATTTCTTTCTAGTGTAAAAATGCATTAACCCGAAGTTTTATAAACTTACTGATTAATGGATTCTGCAGCAATCTATTTTTCAGCCCTATATAGTTTGTTGCAAGCTGAGCTAAAAGTTCCTAAAATCTTGGAAACGGTAAGAACGTGTAGAGCAGTGTTTCTCAACCTTGACAATTTTAAGGCATGTGGACTTCAACTCCCAGAATTCCACAGCCAGCAATGCTGGCTGTGGAATTCTGGGAGTTGAAGTCCACATGCCTTAAAATTGTCAAGGTTGAGAAACACTGGTGTAGAGTATAGTGCTTTCAGACTGAAGATTGATGCAACAGAGCGTCTCACTAAGTATTCAACAGAAAGTTGTTCCCAGTATTTTTCTATCTGAAAAGAAAGCTTGAAGTAGATCAGTGGAAACTCTACCTCTGAATCATGCTGATGTTCAGGCTGCTGTCCACCTCTGGAGAAAGAGTTTCTCTCTATCCAAGGCTTCTTCTGAGTGGCTTGTGAAGTGACACTCGCCCAGCTGGCACCAACTTAGAAAAGCATCACAGATGTTTAGGGAAAGATAACATGTGCAAGAGAAAAACATGCAATGAATACACGTTACATTTTTTTTTACACAGAAAAACAAAACAAAACTCCACATCTTTAAGAAAACCAACTAGATGTTGGATCTAACCAGCATGCGTATTCACGTCACTAGCTTTGCCTGTTTACATGGTTACATCACAAGAAATAATATAGATTCAGAGCAGTCTGTCTGCAACTTTTCCTTCTTTAAAGACACTGAGCAATCTTGAAATATACAGTATACGATAGCTACCATTCTCATTTGCTCTTCATATAGGATGCATTTTATTTCTAGCTGAACAGATTTCTATTTCTGTTTTAATTTTTAGCATAAGGGTACAAGAAGGATCTCAACTCATTTGCAATCTTTAAGGACTAATCAATGCAGTCATGGAAAATGTAACCCGGGGGGGGGGGGGAGAAATGGAAGAGGAGGCAGATTACCAAGAATTACTAAAATGTTAATTACTAAATGTTGTTTTTTTTTCAAAAAAAGCAGTATGCTGACACTATTCACAAAATATTTTGAGGAGAAAAAAGCTGGACACATTCAGAAACAAGGCCACAGTATTTACACACGTCGCAATGTGGAAAAGGTTAAGGGTGTAGAATTTAATCAGCTAAAGGTGTAAAGGCGTAATCAGCTAAAGTGACAACAGGTATCCATCCCACATGGACACGGACCCACAAAATAATGCTTCAAACTTGCAAAGCCAGGGAACTTTACCTGGGTGTATGGATGATTCTTTGATCTAAAAATAAATAAATAAAAAAAAGTTGGAGAGGTTACTTTACATAGGCGTATTTAATATCGCTTCCCACTCTTGCACTTTTCAGATGTCTACCTACATTTGTTCCGGCCGATTCCGTGTTTCTGGATGTCGCTGCCCCTGCTTGGTTGCTGTGCTTAGGACTGCAATAGCCGCTGTCGCTATCAATATCGGCTTCGCTGGCCCCCTGCTCGCTCGAGGACTCGGTAGGGTGGGAGGCGCGCCGTCGCCTGCCCCTCGGCTTCCAGTGCAGACCACTCACGCCCTCCGAGAGGGACTTGCTGGCAATTTCTGAAGGGAAGTCTGCGAGTCAAAGGACAGTCTCAGGAACTGACAAGGGTTTAACGCAGGGGTGTCCAACTTTGGGAACTTCCAAGACTTGTGGACTTCAACTTCCAGAATTCCCCAGCCAGTTATGTTCCCGAGGTTGGACACCCTTGGTTCTGGGGACTTCTGGGAGTTGAAGTCCACAAGTCTTAATGTTCCCAAGGTTGGACACTCCTGATTTAATGGGCAACTTCCTTCTTGAGAAAGCATGTGTTGATGGCCACCTGGACAGAGAAACGCCATTGAATTGGATTTCATTGTTATTCTTTTTTTTAAATTTTTTAATGATTTCTCCTCTCACTGGAAGAATCAAGTGATTTCTGTTTTATACAAGGCTCAGCGTACCAACGGTGGTTTCTGAACATTAAATAATACAGGTGAAAAATAGTACCTTTCTTTTGTGTGTGTTGCTATGTAAGACTGAACGAAGAGTATAAGCAGTATAATAATAAGTCATTAAGTCACTCTGGATGGTGAGTTGGGCAGCAAGCAAATTTTACAAAATAAAAATGCAAGTAAAACAACAGTTTTGAAGTATCATAGTTTGACTGAAACACTGTTCAGGGCTCTGGTGCAGAAGGGTGATCTAGTCATCAAAACCAGCTTTTCTTTCTTAAAAATAACATTTCAAATTGTTATATTATCAAAACTAAACACATTATTGCCATACCTGTTTGCTGACAAGCATCCACCAATAGGACAATTTTGGGTCTGTTCTCTGGGCCCGAAGAATTCGTTTCCTTCTGGATAGCAACATTTTTCACTGGAGGCCTTTTGCTCTTTATGTGGGGTTGAGATGGCTGCTGCCGATTGAAAGAGTAGCCAAGCAAACAGATAAAGCTAATTGACATGACTTAGACAATATATATATATAGATATATATCATAAAAATATATGAAGAGCAACAATCATATATCTTTAGTCATTACCTTGTTACTTCTGAATTAGTTTATGGAATGTTAGTCTATCTGCTCCCATTTTTTTAGTCTTCTAAAAGGTCTTGGAGACTTGGCCATGTCAACTTGCCTGGGGTCCCAATGGGAATGTAGCACTTTGGAGGTGGCTAAGAGAGTAGATAACTCCCCCACACACACACACAGACACACCTGCCTTTGTGTACTTGGCTCCCTACCTCTCCATTTTGCTTAGTTTTAACTTAATTTTAAATTTAAGGCCCTTATTTATTGTTTTAACGTTTTATAGCACATTTTATTCAACTCTGTAAGCCATCTAGAGCACCTTTGGGATGGGCGGTATACAAGTTTAGCAAACAAACAAAGAACTCTTTTTAAGTTTTAGACTCCCCTGAGTATTGGTAACTTAAAATGTAGCTGGTTTCTGCATTAAGACACAATTGCACTTCTTATGTTTAGCCACTGCAACACGCGAGCTCGCCGCTGAAATCCAAGGACAGATTATTTAGCTAATGACACCTAGTGACCAGGCTTTACTAAGTGACCTGCAAATCACATTAATCCCTTGTGATCTCTGCCCGAAAGATGGAGATTAACAAGAAGAAAACAACCTGAAATGGTTGAGAAAAACATGAGGGTGGCAGAAACACTTAAAACTGATTTTAAATACATTCTGGATATATGTTAGGTAATGTTGAGAGCTTATGGCCACTGTAAGCTCCATTCACGGCCTTGTGGAATAAACATGCATATTCGGTGACTGGAAAAGTGCATGTCTAAATGGTCAGCTCTCCCAGGTAAACCAGACAATAAATAGGGAGGAGATGAATTCTACTTTACTGTAACAAGATCTTGCAAATCTTGAAGACACAAACTTCCTGCCTTCCCAAGTTTCTTTCTTTGACCCTTAAACTACTGGAAGTGCCTGTCTCTTTTGTCTGACTGCTGCCTTGACAACATTGCTTCACCTGTTTTTCCAAGGTGTTTATACTGCCTAGTGTAGGAGTTTTTTTTTTACTTTTGATGTGAAAAACCTCTTGAATTTTACATCTATTTTTCATCGCCACCATAGCAAGATACAAAAAAAGGGGGGGGGAGTACAGGCAGTCCTCGACTTACAAGCATTCATTTAGCAACTGCTCAAAGTTACAACAGCGCTGGAAAAAGTGACTTACAACTTCTAAATCCTCACATTTACGACTGTCACAGCATTCCCCACGTCAACAGGTGCACATTTGGGTGTATGTCAACTGGCATGTATTTAGGACAGTTGCAGGGTCTTAGGGACATGTGATTGCCATCTGCAGCCTTCCCAACCAGCAAAGTCAATGAGGGAGACCAGATTCGCTTAATGACCGTGTGATCCCCTTAACAACTGAAGGGATTCGCTTAACCGTGGCAAAAAAAGAGAGTAAAATCAGACGCAACTCACTTAGCAATTGCCTTGCTTGACACACAGAAATTCTGTGATCGTAAGTCGAGGACTACGTATAATAATGAACCCAGCAGTACATTTGGGTTCGACTTGCTATTTCTCAATGGTGGGTTGTTAAGTGTTTGGGAAATGCAAAGGAGCTTACTTTTTGCACCACCGATCCTCTGCTGGTACTTCTGCTCCTGGGACTACACAACGGAAAGGCCTGGCTTGGTTGGGCCGGACGATCCGTGCATTGTGCTGTGACTGTGTTTATGGCACTTGCAGGCTGAAAGGGCGCAGAGTAAGGTGTTGGGAAGGGATGATAGAATCCCATAACTTGAGTACAAGGTGCTGGCATCAGCTGGTAATAGGCATACTCGCTGGAAACCGGTGGCTGAGTAGATATAATGGGATAAGCCAGATACGGCCCGGCGGGGTTTGTGTTCGGCTGCTGCCACCTGATGTCATTATTGTACAGTGGAAGTTGTCTGAAATAAATGAAAAAAAAAATCCAAGTTAGGTCTGCAATTATTTTTTATAAAATCAGTTTAAAGCAGGGGTGTCCAACCTTGGCAACTTTAAGAGGGATGGATTTCCAGGATTACCTAGCTAGAATTCTCAATATTTTCTCATTTTCTCAATATTTTTTTCTAAATCTTCTTTTAATTTTGCCTACTTTCGGTGTACTAAAAATTCTAATAAAAACGGGGGGGGGGGGGGGAATAAAGGCAATGCCAATACTAGAATTTTATTGTTACATTATATAACCTCAGAAACATGAAAGTCTGCCAGGGTTTCTGTCTGCTCCATTTTCTACTATTAATGATCAAGACAAAAGGGTTTTAAGACCCTTTTTCAAAATAAATAATTTGTTCTCCAACTACATGGTGTAACAGTCACGCAACTCAGAAGAAAGCCCCATGAGTTCAATGCAGGTCCAAACAACAACAACAACAAAAAATATGCATCATTTTTTAGATTTTTCCCCCCAACATTTCAGAAAGCAAGACAAATTAAATTATGCTGGTCTAAACAGAGATATACTGTAAAGCACCACAGTAAAACCAGAAATAGAAATAAAAAACAAACTTGTACTGGTTTTTTAACGTATAGATTTAATCACCTGTTGGACTGGTTTTCTTGAACGAAGGGGTAGCATGTAATCAGGTAGCTGGGAATCGGCGTGGCCTCAACGCCATTGATGTTTCCGCCATCATTAGGCAGCGCCATTGGCATCACCAGTGAATCGGGCCCCTTCTTCTGAGGAATGAACGGTTCCACTTCAGCAGACAATTTCACGTTCTTAAAGGGAAAAACAAAATGAACAGGATTCTTCATACATAAATGGGTCATAAGGATTCATCGGTGTGTTAAGCTTTTAAGTTTGCTGTTTGTTAAATCTAAGCAATTTATTTAAGCTAAATGAGTCCATTTGAGATCTCTTATCGTCACAGGACACATATTTTGCAATTTAGCAACAGGCACTACCTAAATCAGGCTTTGGTTTTGACAGAGGATTTAGACCAGACATGTCAAACACAAGGCCCGGGGGCCGGATGCGGCCCGCGAAGTGGTTTCATGTGGCCCGCGAAGCCATGCTGGAAACAGTGAGGGAACGGCCCCCGCTGCCTTGGCCCTGGCCCTGGCCCAGACCAGCCGGGAGCCAATGTACAATTTTGTGGTGGCCATCTTGGCACTTGCCCCGCTGGACCATGCCTTGGCACTTGCCCCGGTCCCACCCCCTTCTGCCAGAGACCCTCAGATCTGTCCCACTCCTGCCCAGGCCCCCACGGGCACCCTTGACGCAAATGATGTAGAACTGGCCACGCCCACCCAGTAGGCCACACCCACTCCATCCACACCCACCCAGTAGGCTGCACCCACTCTGGCCACATCCACCCGGCCCCCCCAGGGCAACCGCAATGCTGATGCGGCCCTCAGTGAAATTGAGTTTGACACCCCTGATTTAGTACTTTACTATTAATATTTATATGTGCGTATTCGTATATTACGGTGTTTATATGCCATCCAAATTAAAAGATTAGTTTTCATCATGGCAGAAAGTAAGCACTCTTGGCTAAAGCAGCAAACACTTCAAAGCCATGTTTATTATACAAGTTTCCAGTGATTTACGGGTACTCTTCAACTTACGACCACATGTTTTTTGTTGCTGAGACATTTGTTAAGTGAATTTTGCGACCTTTCTTGCCACATTTGCTAAGTGAATCACTGCAGTTAATTTAATAATAGGGTTGTTAAGTGAATCTGGCTTCCCTATTGACTTTGCTCGCCAGAAGGGCGCAAAAGGGGATCACGTGATCCCGGGACACTGCAATCGTCATAAATATGAGTCAGTTGCTAAGTGCCTGAACTTCGATCATGTAACTATGGGAATGCCACAACTGTCACGTAAAAAACGGCCACGAGTCCCCTTTTTTCTAAGTCAAGGACTAACTGTAATTTGTCAGAAGTGCATTTTGTACGCTGCAAATATCGTTTGGATTACTGAAACAGATCTGCCCAGCAGATCTGCTTCTTTCTCATCAAAAGAATGGCAAGTTACATGCCAGCAGCCTGTACCAAAGATTAAGACCAAAGATTTTTAGCTAAAAAACCATTCAAATGACATTTCCTTCTGTTCATGTGTACATGTATACCCTTGGTTTTAACAGACTGCATCATCAACTAATCATAGGGAGTGAGTTCACACAGCACTCTTAGGATTAATTTTTGGTCAGTTGGATTGCATTTCAGGGTATTCTGCAAACTTAATCATTATGTTCCTTAAGCTAACCAGGGACAATTTATTTTCATATTGCAAAAAAAAATATATGATTAAAGGTGGAGATGTTCATTATTAACTGTAATCACTTATAATGAAACATTATCCTTAGAAGCCTAATTTTCTTAAAGCTACTATTATAAGCTATCTTACAGTAAGTAATTATTAATGTAAAAATACTGGCTTTTCTTCCCATCTAGCGTTATACCACAAATACTATTTGTGAAGAGCTTAAACATTTCCCCCCAGTTGCTGCCTCTAATTATGGTTGTTCCCAAAACTAAACCTGGGTAACATAAATCTGTGCCCCATTTGGTTAGCATTAGGAGCTGTGGTGGTGCAGTGGTTAGAACACAGTATTGCAGGCTAACTCACTGCTCACGGCCAGAATTTGGCCCTCACGCAGTCTTCCATCTTTCCAAGGTCAGTAAAATGAGGACCCAAATTGTTGGGGGCAAAATGCTGACTCTGTAAATCGCTTAGAGAGGGCTGTGAAGCACTGTGAGGCGGTATGTAAGTCTAACTGCTATTGCCGTTTCATTCCAGGAAATGTCTAACACTGAAAAATATTGTGACTGAATGGCTAACCAGATATATAATTTTAGAGTCTACTTCAGCAGGAATAGTAAGCAGAAAGGTGACAACTATATTGCTTAGGATAACATGCTCAGCACAGCTACATTCAGTCTCATTGAAAGTATAAAAACACTGTGATGAGATTTAAACACTTATTTACACCAAGTAAAAGATGAAGCCAAAGACATTCAGTGCAGAACGGAAAACTATTTCCTGCATGAAACATAACATTCTAGCCGATTCTCCAGCTGCCTTGTGCAAAAACTATATTAAAAAATTGCTATACAGATCTGTTAAACGCGTCTATGAAAAACAAAAATAATGGATTCAGTTTTGCTGTTGAGGTTTTAGAAGTAATTTGTGACAGTACAAAATAAATGTCTGTAATAATGTTTTGTAATTTAATTGCCACTTTGAATTTTTTTAAAAAGGGGCCTGAATAAAAAGTAGAACTGCAACAATTGTTAACCTTTATTACCTGTAGAGGTTGTAAGCATAATTACTGGGATTAGAAACAAAAAGAAGGAGAGGTAACACTGTAACCAAAATTAAAACCATCAAGTACAAACGTCGTGTACTCATTACCAAACATAATCTAAATCTAAAATCTAAAACTGAAAACAATCAGATAAGAGGGGAGGATTCAACTAACACCCATAAATCTAAACTTTACCCTGACGTGTGACTACAAGCTTGAAATGTTGTTATTAGGGTTAAGCTACCTTTTGTTTTTGTTTCAACATCTGCATACTAACTAAGCGACTTACAATCCAATAGTAATTTCCCTGCCTTTGATGCTTCTTCAGAGATTCTTCTATACACACAGCTCCCTCTCTTTGAGGGAGATGGGCAGCTCAGAAACGGGGAAAAAAATAAAATAAAATGTACCGGCAGTCCTCAATTTACAACCGTAAGTGGGACCAGAATTCCCGTGAATCACGCAGTCGTTAATTTAATTTACCAATTCAAATTTAAAAAGGGCTTCCTTCACTGACTCTGCTCGTTAGAAGCTGGCTAGGAAAGTCAGAAATGGTGATCACATAATTGCAGGATGCTGCAACCTTCTTACGTACATGCTGGCTCAGTCGAACACCCAAATTTGGATCGCGTGACTGTGGGGATGCTGTGACCGTTGTTAAGTGTGAGTACTGGCTGTAAGTCACTTTTTCCAGTACTGCTGCAATTTCAAACAGTTGCTAAATGAACGGTTGTTAAGCCAAGGACTACCTGTACACTGCTGGACCCCATTAAAATAAAGGAAATAGATGGTCTACTCCAAGGCTTTTCAACCAGTGGTACGGGTACCACCTGTGGTACATTGGCACCTGGCAGGTGGTACATGACCATCCTAGAAAAGTGGTAGCAGGGAGGGGAATGAGCTGAACCGGTGGCAGCACCACACAAGCCTGAGCGAGAGACGGCTGGAGCTGCAGGGCTGTCAGGGCTCAGCGGAAGCGCCAGGATCAGCGCCAGGATCCAGCTGGAGCCCAGCGCTGATCCTGGCGCTTCTGCTGAGCCCAGAAGAAGCGCCGATCAGCTGGAATGTTGCAGCATCTCCAGGGTCTTGTCATTTACATTCAGATGCTTGGCAACTGATTCATATTTATGACGGTCACAGTGTCCCAGGGTCATGTGAAGTGACCAAAACCTGCTGCAACCACCCAGCAGACGGGGGGGAATAAAAACCAAACACCCCCCACCCCACTCCTGCTGCCAATCCTCAACAGAAAGGCTCACAACAATGAAAACCTCGGACAGGAGGAAGAGCGCCACTGGGCGGGCAGGCAGGTGTCTTGCTCGGCTGTGGCTTGGGGGGCACTTTTTTCAGTGCCATTGTAACTTCAAACAGTCACTAAGCGAACTATTGTAAGTCGAGGACTACCTGTACTTTATCACTTTTTTTTCCTTTTTTTTTTTTTTTTGGTCATCAAGTTTTTGACACTTTGTTAGGCGACTGGTGGTACTCGGATGTTGCCATATCCTAAAAGTGGCACAATGGGTGAAAAGGTTGAAAAGCCCTGGTCTACTCTGTTGCTTGGGCCGAACGCTTCCTTCCAGTTCGCCGGGTTTCGAGACTTGGCTGGCCTTCATTTTACTCCAATAAATGTAAAACTGTTTATATCTGCCGTGCCCTGCCCAATTTTCCAGCATATTGCGCATAAAGGCTTCTTTGTTTTCTGTGTAAAAGGCACTGTGGTCTTTAGCAGCTGCAGGGACAGAAGATGGCACTAGCAGGAGCCGGCTGGTAAAGTTAGTGCATTACAAAGTACAAAAAGACTTGAGTAATGGATATTTATCCTCACCCAATAAAACAGAAGCCAGGCTGTGCCTCGGCCAGAGCGGCAATAGCTGAAGGGGCCCAGTGTTAAAAAACATAAGGCAGATGCACACAAGTTATGTTTTGAACCTCAAATGAAGCTGCAGTCACCCTGGCTAGTGACTGGAAAGGATCTGAGCGATGTTTGCTCTTTCAAGAATTTGTAAAATGTCAGTTTTTTGAGGTTTCTTTTTTATTTAAACAGGGAGCCTTCTAGGAACAGCTCCACAAGATGTCACACTTTCTGGTTATTTTCAGAGCAGCTTTGAAAAAAACCCACACAAAAGCAGCTGTGGCTATAGTTAGAAAACACTACGCGGTATAATGTTAAGATATGGCAGACATGCAAGCTGGTTGGAAGTTAGCAAAGACAGCGTCGTCATCTTGCATGAGATTCTGCCTTAAGAGGTGACAGGTTGAGAAAGGATGTTTTTAAGCAAAGTTTGAGGGGCACAATGTTTCCTGGGGGAAAAAAGTTCATTTTACAAAATGAACACACAAGCAAACGATACACATTATGTTGATCATACTCAAGAGTTATGCTGTCAACAAAATGGTAAAATATAAACTTTTTTGACGGGGGTAATCAGAGGGATAATGGAAAAAATGAAACTCATATCATAGTTGTTAAGAAGTTTCTAGAGCAGTGTTTCTCAACCTTGACCAGCTCCCTGGCTGGGGAATTATGGGAGTTAAAGTCCACCCATCTCCAATGGTCAAGGTTGAGAAACACTGCTCTAGAGCAGGCATGTCAAACTCGCGACGTCACACGATGTATCGTGACTTTTTCCCTATTGGGAATGGGGTGGGCACGGTTTTGGTGTGACACATCTGGCCTGCGGGCCGACAGTTTGACATGCCTGCTCTAGAGTATATACTGTAATATGATTATGAAGTGAGCGAAAAGAGTGTTTACAGGAACTCAAATGGGGTCTTGAGTTACATCAGAATAAAACCTACAGACAATTTACTGGTCATTTATTCCTCACTTAGCAACTGTTTGACGTTACGACAGACCTCCCCAGAGCTACTTGCAACCCAGTTCCAGAGTTCCAATGGATACACACATACACAGTCACATAATCACACTTTCGACACTTGGCAACCAGCTCACATTCATAGCCATTTGGGGTGTCCTGTGGTCAGATGACTGCAATTTTCAACATTTTTCATCATTTCTACACTTATGCCCAGTTTCCGTTAAAAAAAAAGCCCATTGAAGAAAATAGATTCATTTAACGACCACAAAAAAGACAGTAAAGTCAGGTGTGTTACATGATGACCCGCTTAATAACTGCCATGACTTACCACCATAATCCAGAGATAAATTACGGTCGTAAGGAGAGAACTACTAGCAACTTTAAGGATGCAGTCCTATCCTGGGGATCTGGTACTGCAAGACATTCGGGATCAAGGATCTAATTTCAGCCCTGTGTTATACTGAAAATTCGGCATTTGTGCAAAGTTATAGTCTATAAATGCTCCGTCTCCTTTACAACCCTCAGCATTGTAGCTTATTTTCAAGAAAGCTTTAGAAATCCAACTAGATTTCAGCTGCACCAGGACAAGAACCTGTTTTCTGCAACTCTGATTTGTATCTAACCAGTTTCATAAAGTGATACTGATTAAAATATATTATAATAGAATATATTGCCCAAAGGACTTATATGCTTCAAAAAGAGATAACGAGCAGGGGAAATTGTATCCTAGATAAACCTACTTTTAAACCACCAGCTTAAATATCTCCTGCAATTTGTTCTCACACGAAACAGGGTGTTTCCAAACAAGGGACATTGTAAGGCACATGTTACATTTTGTAATAATACTAATTTTATTCCTGGACACCAAAGACCACATTGTAGATAACATTTGGTTATTTGCTGTCAGTTTTTCAATAATCCTTATTAGCCAACGCCTCTTTTTTGAAGGTTATGGGTGCAATCTATCATGCTGACTGACCCTTGTGATTTTTTTGACTTTCCAGTTTAGGAACGAGAGAAAGTGACTGGCCCAAACTCACCCAGCTGGCTTCTGTCTTAAGACAGGAATTCAGTTCATTGTATCCTGGCTTTTAGTCTCCACCAAATTTGTTCTCTCTGTATTTAGTATATTTAATAATCATAAATTATATATCCTTTTTTAAATAAAGAAGCAATAAAAATAGCAGATTTTTCCTATAGTTGTAACAACCTGCCATTTATACCTCAACATGTCACAGAATTTAACCACAGATATACCAAGGAAAAACTATAAAATAAAAAGTTAGTTTCCCCATACCTTTAAGTTATGCAATCTTTATCCCAACTCTGTCAGTCCCTAGCAGTCACAGAAAGAAAAACTAGCAATGTCATTGTAATTATAGGCACATAATTTAGATAAGCTTCATTATAGTCTGTAAACCAATGTGATTAGAGCAAATTGCTTGCCAAAAATTGAGAACTTATTTTTCAACATTCGGCTAATAAGAGATAGAGCTAAACTTTGAAGTTTTTTTCCTTCTTTATTTTAAAAAAACACTCTACACCTCGTATTAATCTGTTAACAGGAAGTATTTTTTTTTAATATTATGTTGAGGCTGTCACATAGAAGTAATAGTGTACAAATTAACCCCAATGCTAATTTTATTTCAACAAAATTTGCTTTCAGGTAAATCAAAAGGACTGTAAATACTGGCCACATCAATTTACAAAACAAAATTAGGCCAGGACACTTGAATCAAACCAATTTTGTTTGAGGATGTTAGATTAATGGTTCATTATTGGTCATTTTGAACTCTGGTGTTTTTCATTTACTATCACCATTGTTTTAAATTTCAAGGTGACCAATTACAGATAAGAAACTCAAACTTTGATCAGATTCCTATGGTTTTAACCATGTTCCTTAGGTTAGCTACTATATAAACCAACATGCTGAGTAAACTAGATCCTCAATTAGCTTGCCCTATTAATCCGGCAAACTCTCTCAGCTGAATAGTGGTGGAGCAGTTCCCCTTCCCTATCTCTAACTTCAAAATATGCTTCAGAGGGTTGGGTTCTGCTGCCTGGAGAGGAGAGTACTGTAATTAAAGGCTGCACAAAAATAAAGAACTTGATCTGCACTGACCAGTACTGTAGTAAGCATACCGTGCATTTCAGAGCATTTTTCCCTAACTTGGCTCTCACCATTTAATCAAATAAAAACTTGCCTTCAAACTAAATATCTCAGCCCCCATGTATTTCTTCTATCACAATCCAAACTCTGTTATGACCATTTGGACATGGGCACCCCCAAAAAAGACACAAATAAATACAGCACTCGAAGCAATTGAGGAAATTAGCCTCTGAATTTCATTATAGGGTTTTAAATTCTTAATTAATTCACAAACGTGCCCAGAGTGTTGGATACACACTGCTTTTAATTAGAATTAGTAAACAATTTCCTAAACATTGTAGAATACAACAAACACCTTGTTAACAAAGAAAACAAGAGTGCATCTTCTTTAAAACATTACCCTTCTTAAACAAAGCAATCTTAGCAGGTGATTGTGCTTGGAAACTAAATAGAGATAGGTCTGGCTAGTCCTTGAGATGAAGGCTTAATTTTAAGCTCCAAGGCTGTAAGCTAAAGAGAGAAATCAAAAGAAAAAATGAAGATGGGAATCCAGTCCTGTATTACTGCCAGTGAAATCCATTAAATCACCAGAAGTGTATTAACTAGATTTGTAAAGCTTCCAAAGTCAAACAATGTGACTCTGGGCGGCTTACAATAACAATAAACCAAACTACCGCTCTCAAACTATTTAACATTAAAGCTATACAGCATATAAATATAAAATATAGAATGGCGATGACCAAGCACCATTAACCATCAACAAAAGGGGACTAAGTGAACAGAGCTGGGGCCTGTGGTCTATCTAGAATGGGTTGGGGATGTTCTATAGAACAAGGGCAACAACAGCAAAGTACAAGCACAACTTGACTTTACTCTTATGATCTGAATATGTGTTATTTACAAGCAACTGCAATTATAAAAATTATGTCATCATTAATCAGGAAGCTTTACATGTATATGGATATGTTGGATGACCTCAGTCCCTTGCTAGGCAACCACATTTTATCCTAGCATGTGAGCACAGCCTATGTGCTTTGTTTATGATCCAAAGGATTGTGCAAATGCAGCTGGGTTGACTAAACCAAGGTTAACTACAATAAACAATGTATATGACCATTGTGAAAGAACTGCCTTTCATCAAGCCTGTGAAGGTTCATCTAGCCCGGTGTTAACTACTCAGTGTAATGGCCTCTCTAATGTCCCATCTTGGAATTTGAATTCAGACTCCAGTTTGGTCTCCCCTGTGAGCCTGTAGAGATGCTTGAACATACCACCTGCCCAATAACCAGTTCACTAAAGACCTTAGGGATTCAGTGCCACCATCCTGCATTTTCCCATTAACTCTTTTTACCCGAGCTTCCTACTCACTTTTCCAAAGAGCAGAAGTTTTTTTTTTTAGAAAGTTAAACATTTTGAGTGAGGGAGCAAGACATTCTCCAATGTTCCTGACCAGTCATATTTACACAGAAGACCATTCCACAAGGCTGAATGCTTCTGTGTACACTAATCCAACAAACAATTTGTCATGTAGGAGAGTGATACCTGAAATTCCAGGACAAAAATCTGCTCGGGGGGGGGGGGCTTCTCTCTACCCACCCTCAAACTTGCTACTCAGAATAGGCGGGGAAGGCTCCAATCCTGGAGTGACAGCAGCTGTGAGCAGCTCAGCTTTTTAGGAAAACTAAACTCAGGCCTGGTAGGGTTTCTAGTCCCTTTGCAGCAAGTCACTAGCCCAGAGGCTCAGTCCCAAGGAACTCCCCCCACCATACATTTAACTCTGAAATGGTAACCATTGTCTGAAACGGTGTAGGCGCAGGGGTCCCCAACCTTGGCAACTTTAAGCTATGCTGGCTGGGGAATTCTGGGAGTTGAAGTCCACAGGTCTTAAAGTTGCCAAGGTTGGGGACCCCCTGGTGTAGGGTTTCCTGCTTGAGCAGGGGGGGTTGGACTAGAAGACCTCCAAGGTCCCTCTTCCCACTCCGTTGCTGTTACTCTTCTTTTACTCCAGCCCCAGAAACCTGGATCCCAGCTCCTCCTGCTCCTCTTCCTCATTTTCTTTCTTTTCTTTCTTTCTCTCTTCTCCTCCTCCTCCTCATTTTCTTTCTTTTCTTTCTTTCTCTCTTCCTTCTCCTCCTCCTCCTCATTTTCTTTCTTTTCTTTCTTTCTCTCGTCCTTCTCCTCATTTTCTTTCTTTCCTTCATTTCTTTCCTTTCCTTCCATTCCTTCCCTTCTTTCTTTCTCCTCCTCCTCCTCCTGTTCGCACAGCTACTTCTTCCCCACCCCAGGACGGGAAGTAGGTACTCCGTCCATTGCAAACCTTTGGCCAGCTTCGTGCCGAGGAAGCCCAGGAAAATCCTAAGGGAGCAGCCTGGGAAAAGCCCAGGGACCCTCAAGCAGCAGCCGCCGCCGCCCAGCTCCTCCTCCTCCTCCTCTCCGGCCGGGTCTTGCAAAGCTCCCGTAACCCCAACCCCCCCTCCCCGTCTGGGCTGGCTCCCTGGAAAGTCCCCCCCCCGGTCGTCACGTCCCCCGTTAATTCCTCCGGCGCTGCTCCTCGCTGGCCGGGCGGAGTGGGCGCCTGGTGTGAGACGCTGAACCGGCTCCTGGTTGTTGTTCCTGCCGCCTCCCTCCGGCCCTTCTGCTCCCCTCCTCGCCCTTTCCTTCCCCAGGAGCAAGAGGGACCCCCC